CAGAACAACATGCATGCATTTCTGCCATTGGTGATGTTATTGCTTTAGATCCTTATAGAGATTGGGGTCTTTTCTGTCCTGAGATATGTGACAAAAATAAGTGGCGAGCCTGCCAGGATACTTTTTTTGTTGTTATGGATCCATGAGAAAAAACGCATTATTCTTAAAACAACTACAAACACGAAAAGAAAAATGCTAAATAAAACCGGCACTAAACAGAAGTTATGATAAGTATAAAGCATTCATCGCTTACACAACTCGCACGTTCTGTGGCAGTGTCTCGAGAGGCAAAGCGTTGCAGAGGGACTGGCGTTGACCTCATCGTCCGAGTCTGTGACAGTCTTCCTCTGGCAGTGTCATTCAGGCTGGGAGGTAGAGTTTGTTAACCTGGGTGTCACAGGTCCTTGATATGGCCTGTATCCTACCGGAACAGTAACTGGCTCGGTCGAGGCCTATGGTGCGATGCCGTAGGACGGCGCGCTCGGCACACAAGCCGATGGCACTTCCTGGCTGATGTGGATTGTCGCGACTCCCATACGGTTCCTTGGAGTCATCCTGGAAAAGCATGAGTCTACGGTGCGATGCCTAAAAACCATGAGAGCTGGAGCGCTCGGAACACAAGCTGGCGACGCTCGTGTCCAGCTCACGATCGCACACCCCGAGCCCTTCCGCCCACGCCACCTTGCTTTCTATATCTCCACCTTCGTTTTTCTCTTCTTCAAACCTTGATGCCTTGCTTAATGTCTTCCTCTTTTTTCCTCATATTTTCATGGTCAGCTCCTTCATGGGACAATGGCCTCCTTCCTCAAGAGTTTTCTCCTGAAGAAAACTGCTCAATACTTTCGATGTCTTCAGAGAAGTCACAGTCCGCCATTCATCACTATCAGTCTCAAGCTAACACTTCACCACCACCACACTCGTCATGTTGTGCCACCATCGTACTGAATGCACTCAAAGTACACCATTGAGATAAAATAACCGTGATTATCCACCCAAAACAATTTTTCATGTCACTGTCACTATCAATGTCTTTACACAGTTTCTGGAACACTATACAATAAATACAGTGCATGCACTCACTGATGACATTGTTGCATTGTAACTTTTTCAGCACAGTTCAGAAACTCACCAACAAACTGTGTTTTCTCCCTTTCTTCTCTAGAACGGGGCAACAAACATCAAATTTCAACTTTAAGTATTTTCCTCCTCACATTGCACATCTTTTGCGACATTCTTCCACGTTTTCTATGTTGTTATGTCCGGTGTTGTCGTTGGCCCATAGACGTACGCGTAGGTCGCGGTAGTCCAAAAAGCTCAGACAGCCTCGAACGGTTAAAAACAAGTTCATTCCTATTCGGATGGAGGCAGCGGCCGAACTGCCGGGGGAAACGAACGGTGGCTCGTTTGCGCCGAGCGGGGGAAGGGGAGGAGTCAACATCTGGAAGCAGTTTCAGCATCCGGTCCTTCGCGGGTTCGGAGGCTTGCTCGTGACACAGGGGTGCTTGGAACACAACATCTCCTCCCTCCTTATGTTGAATTCCAATGGCGGAGTCGGTGCAGCCGACCGACTTCGCGAGCGAGCACTCGACTCTGGCGTAGAGCAAATCCTCCAAATCCGCCATCGGAACAGAACCCGCCCTGCTGGAGCAAGGCAGAAGCTGCCGCGTTACCCAGGATACCTTGCGCGTGGTCTTTTCCACTGTCTGTTTGCCACGTGGTTTACCAGCATCGCCGCATCGTTCGTTGGCTTGTTCAGCGCTATTCACCTGTGTGGAATGGATATCAGGCCAAGCGTGCAACAGCTATTGTCCACGATGTCTGCTGTCGCTATCGAGTAGCAGAAGCATTGCCGCACGCTTTGCCGAGGTAGCCGAGCCGTCCGTGCCGTCCGCCATTATCAACACAACTCGCGCCTAAGGTCCCTAGATGAAACTTGTTTCATCTAGGGACCTTACTCGCGCCGCGCCAGCCGCGTCCCCAAGCAGGCAAACGTGTTAAAGGAAATGCGTCACGCTGAGTTCCGGTTTACTCCACCGATTTCGGCGGAGCAGTTTTTCCTGCTCCACGGAGGGACTCCCGCTCTGAATCCCCTCCGGCTCTCTCATTGGAACTTTTGACTCTCGCTCTCACTCTGTCATTGGAACACACTTGCTCTGAAAGGAGCAGAAAAACTTGCTCCGACTCCGCCATTGGAATTCAACATTAGATTGTCGCTTGGAAGCGATCTGGGGGCCGCCGTGGGCGCGTGGACGCTCTAGACGCACTAGGAAGAGAAGCCTCCGCTCGCTGGGTGTCGTTTCTTTTGTGTTCAGGGCCGGCGGGCGGCGGCGCCGATTCATCTGGTGCGAGATGCCAGGCTAAGTGGAACAAAGCTTCCGTCGAGGTGGCTGCTTGAATGGGAGGTTCCCTTGGCAAATTACCTGAACGGCGTAGCTGATTAAGGTGGCGGCGTGTGGCCTTTCCACCAATGTCGACGAGCCATGACCGCAAACCTATGCGTTTGAGTGCCGTCGCTTCAACCCAGCCGGGCTTTCTGTGGAACTGGGGGGCGTATATGCGCTGTCCACTTTCAATTCTCCTGCTATACGGGAGCTTTTCTTCCTCCGACGGTGCTTTCGCTGAGGGCTCCGGGATAATTGCTGTCAGCTGGGTTCTCATTTCTCGTCCGAACATCAATTTCGCTGGCGTTTGATCAGTATTGCTTTGAACAGTGTTGTGCTGTCTGAAGAGAAAGCGCGCGATGCGGCGTTGCATTGTCCCAGTCTGGTCTTTAGTAAGGGCGCGCTTTAGCTCAGCCACGTAGCGCTCGGCTTGTCCGTTCGTAGCCGGGTGGTAAGGAGCTGATGTAACAGACGAGACGCCCTTGTCACTGTAAAACTTGAGAATCTCCGTGGACACAAACGGAGTGCCGTTGTCCGAGACCACCTTGCGCGGTAGGCCAAACGTTGCAAACAACGACCGCAGAGTATCGATAACTGCTGCCGATGTCGTTGTAGCCATTTGTTTTACCTCCAGCCACTTGGTGAGCCACCTCCTTCTCTACGCCTTTCCTTGCGTGTCTACTCTCGCTCACACCTCCATCTATTTTCGTCACGATCATAAAAACTTATTGCTTATTTACCCAACAATCCAAGCTTCATAGCTAACTCTAAAATTTTCGCAGGTCAATCTCCCCTGCCAAACAGACATCCAAGAAATAAAAAATAAATAAAGTATCTTGGCCGGCTCACCACTGATTTTCGTCACGAATCTGAAGACAACAGTTAGCCAAAAAGAATGTGCAAGGCAAGAGTGTTAAACATGCAGTTTTTAATTAGATGCTAATTAGAAAAACACATGCCCACAGCCACTACAAACATAAAGGAACGCAGAAACAGAAGTTATAAGTACAAAGTGTTCATTTTAACAAGTTGTCTGCATATGGTTTTTATAGCATATGGCAGCGCACACTGGGTAAAAAGGCAACACATAAGAAAGACATACACAAGCATTTGTGCATGCCTTGTTTAGTGTCATCCTTTCACCCGGTGTGGACTGCCATATGTGACAATGATTAACCAAGTAGCCCACAAGTACATCGCCTTGTCTTCCAGCTGTTGCTGGTACGATTTCACATGCCGCAAGTTCAGCGAAAAAAATCATTCCGTTCGCTCCACTCGCAACCACTAGCTAATGGGGGCTACGTTTCACATGGGCTGCGAATGGTCTGCGATTTTCGCTCTGTGACTGGCGTGGTGAGCAACGTTTCTTGTCACCGTTCTTTGTGGCAGACAGTGCAGAATTTTTCAAATATAATGTAACAATCTATTCGTTATATTATTCAGTTTTCACGAACGGTGATGAAGAGCATGCATGTTTCGCCATTTAAAAAACACTTTTCAATCTGTATCCATTTTTAAAGTGTGGAACACCGTCCATTGCCAGAACAAATAGGTCGACACAATTGCGGCGGCTTGGCCGACCCGGCCCTATTTCGAAGGGTCCCGACCAAAAAATCACTCCGCTGTGAACAGAGCAAAAAAACTTTCAACATGTTGGTCGCTTGGCGCTGACCGCTGCAACAGAGGCGAACAGCCCTTTTTTTGCTGCGAGCGAATTCACAGTCTGAAAATCGCTACTTTTTGTGTCATGTGAAACTGCCTTTACCTTACAATCTTTGCCAAGTTTCAGTACTATTAAACTCCAAGAAGTAACTTAGTATCAAGATGTTGAATCTGTTAATCTGGGGTTTCAAGTATTTGCATACCTCTCGCATGTAAAGAGCTCAAAAGTGTAAGCCAAGCTAGTAATAATTGTTGGGGTTTAACGTCCCAAAACAATGATAGTGTGATTATGGATGCTGTAGTGGACGGTTCTGGAAATTTCAATCACTAGGAGTTCTTTATCGTGCACCTAAATCTTACACACACGTGCTTCAAGCATTTTCGCCTCCATCAAAAATGTAGATGTCACGGTTAAGATTCGATCTTGCAACTTTTGGGTCAGCAGTCAAGCTCCATAGCCACTAGACCACCAAGGCAGGTGGGTGTAAGCAAGCTAGTGCATCAGTTGGTAAATGAACTAGGAAACAGATGCTAGATGACGCTTCTATGGCTGATTTGTTGCTGATCCTAAAAACAACTTTCATGGAACTGGTGAACCACTATGAAAGAGGTGAACCATTTCAGTGCTTGCTTTATCTACCTTTCGATTGCAAAAATGCTTATCCTAAAAACACAAATAATTTTGTTACCTATTTTGCAAGCTGAAAGTCCACGAACACTGTCCTGTTGGTGGATGGTTTTGTGGAAAGGCATACATGTTGCAAGTGCATTTTATTCCAAATGCAGCACTATTGTTCGTGAAAATAACAGTGAAAAGATGACGGACTAACACACAGAATAACAGGCGCTCGTTTGTCGTCTGTGTGTGTTAGTCCGTCGTCCTTTGTGCTGTAGTTTTCACAATCATGAATAACCAACTTGCCCGAGTCAATGCCAACACTACTGTTTTACGTGCAGAGGCCTTCAGCAGCGTACCAGAGAAAGTGGGCGGTGAAGAGGCCACAGCAGCACCAGTGGTGCTCAGCCCTGTTTTGGATGAGAAGAGCAGCCACCAAGGGTCCTGGGAGCGTCCACGCAGAGGTCGCACATGCCCATCTTCTATAGATCCAGGAGGGAATGCTAGCCATTGTCCCTACCAAGGAAAGCTGCCTATGGAAGCAAATACTGCAGTGAACACTAGCAGAAGGGGCAGACTTCGTCAGCAGAGGCTATCTCCTCCATGTCCTGACAAGAAAGGGCGCACGAAGTCAGTAGGAGCAGAGGAGCAACAGCAAACCTGCCAGCCACAGCCTGAGTTTTCAAGCACCCCGAATGAGTACAGTATGCATGACATGGTGCTAAGGACAGTACAATCGCCTCGAAAAGGAGCTGTAGCACCTGTCGTTTCTCCTCCCCCAATCGAAGAGCGTAAAGACCACCGATATCCTTCCAGAAGGAAACGAGAAAGTTCTATCAGTCAAGCAATGGTCACTGCTTCACAGCCCAGATGCATGGAACCGATCACCAATGATGAAAAAAGTGTGTGTGATGTAGAAGCATGCCAAGCAACATCAGCTAGCCCTCCGGACAAAACTGCTGAAGAAACTGAATGCGTTAGAAAGAAATATGCACGCTTAGAAGATCCATCCACAGGACTTGTGACTGCACACAGAAGTACACGAAAGAAAAACAAAAAAAAATCACCAGTGACCATGGCCACCAATGCTGAACCTAGCCAATTGGACTCGAGCCAGCTAACATTACCACAGCCTTTACCAGAGATTGATCAGTCTACCATCAAAAGAACAAGCAACCCCATCCAATGCTCTGTAGTAGATGGAAGCGAAAAAAGGGGAAGGCCATTGCGGATGCTCATAACAAGAACTGGTGCAACAAAGAGTGTCATCTCTTGTAATCGTGTAAATATGCGATGTGAACCATTACCTGAAAATGCTGAAGCATGCCAGTTGAATACTTCACCTACTCAAGTGCCTTCTAACGTGCTAACAAGTGAACCAGCACTCAAGTCATCTGCCTTGAAGGATTCGCAGCCAGTCAGACAAGATACCCAAAGCTCACTTGAAGATGACCTTCACGAGACACTGAACAAACTACACATAACAGAGGTGGAAAGTAGACAAAAAACAACGGAGACAGATAGTGGGAAAGAGAGTGTCAGCTCAGTATTATGCGACACAATACCAGCGTGTGCAACAGCTGAAAGGAGTCCAACAAGTTTGGTGGAACAAGAGTGGAAAGATTTAAATAAGGATTCTGCCATGGGGAATCATGATGCAAACACTGTGGTAAATACACCATCAGAGAACGAGAATCTTCAGCCAGCAGCTGTAATTACTAAAGATGTGGATCAAAAAGCACTAGAACAAGATGTGAATGCTTCAACATCTGCTGGACACAACCCCAGCACAAGTAGCATGCCATCAGATGTTTCTAGCAGCCCCACAAGACCATCTGTACGTAGAACGTTGACATTAGAAGAGATGACAAATGCCGTTGAATCTATTCTTCAAACAACAGAGAAAACACTGGCCTTGACTGAACAGTGTCAAGACATGCCTTGTACTGATGCCAACCTCATTGATGAAAAAGAAGTTGATAATGCTACTGACAGCCTTTTAAAAGAGATGAGTGCTCATAATGAAGATAACTTGCAGCTCACCAACTCTTGCCTATCGGCACAGCAGGACAAAGTAGTTGAATTCTCAACATCAACAACTTTACATGAAAATTACATTTCCAGTAATGACAAAAAAAACTGTGAGACAGAGGAAGTTGGTGAAAAAAGTGCTACTGAGTCACCTTATAATGTTGTATTGCCCCAAAGCGAACCAGCCATGTTTGAAACACAGAGCAGCCTTTCACAAAACGAGGAGCTTTTCTGCACCACTTTACTGCCTACGGATGGTACAGGAGTACTATCAGATGCATCCCTTACAGAAGGAAAGGTATTGGATGAAGGTGCACAAGTAAGCAAGCCTGACAGTTTTAGTTCACCCCAGTGCTTTGATGCTATAGGGTTTGATACTGTTGTTAAAAAAACCGAACCCTGTACAACTCCAGAGAATGACAAGCACGAACAAGAAATATCTGGGCAGAGTACTTCAATTGCAAGCAGCACTTCATCTCCGACAGATTGCTTAGAAGACATGGATACTGAAAGATCATACGAACATACAGAATTGACATGCACATTCACAGAAGCTTCAAAAAAAGCCAGTACACAGGAGACACTTAACAGTGCTTCCTCACAACTTCTCAATTTTAAAATTCCTGTGCAAGCACTTGAAAATGACCAGAATATAAAGACAGACCATGTAGTGCAAAAAATGGGTAATGAAAGTTCAATCCAGGAGACTTCCTTTCATCAGGAGACTTTTCAACCTTTATATAAAACGCAGGCTAAAGATGATGGTCGGCAAGCTCTGGCTAGACACGAATCTTCAGGTTGCCTGCATGCTGCTAGGGAAGACAAAGATGCACTAGGCAGCCTTGAGTGTGTGCCACTTGTTCAAACAGGTTCGCAACAGAGTGCAAGTGTAGAATCCTGCAGCAACTTATCATCATCACTGCATGTATTAGAAGACACACACAAGTTACATGCAGACATTGCAGAAGGTGCATCACTGGAAAAGGGACTGAACACACCAGACTTGACTCTATCTCAAAGAAATTTGGAAACACAGGACAAGTTTTCTTGTTCTGGTGATAAGGCATCAAAATCAGCAGACACACAAGAAACATCCCTGCAAAAAGAACCATGTAAGGAAGAGCGGATCATAAATACACAGGAAGTGCTCCCATGCTCCGGTGGTAGCGATAACACGGACACGATAAAAAGCCCATGTGATACACTGTATAACACTGAACCGGAGAAAATCAAGGAAACTTGTACTTCTAGTTTTTTTCCAAAGCTGCTTTCATCAAGCTCAGGAAAATGCACTGATAATATCAAACAACTTGACCTGTCCAGTGTGTCTTTGGATGTTGAGACACCAGCAATGATTTCATCAAACAAGAGTATAGCCAATAAATCAGATAACAAATGCTCCAACTATGTCCCTGAAGAGCAACCAATCACAGGATCAGGCTCAAATGAGGGTCTTCAAAATGAAGCAACAGTAAGTGCTCTTTCAACAGTTCCCAATGAAGAAAAGGAACCAGCAGAACAAACCATAACTGGCAGCCTGAAAACACAGGAATATACAGAAAACACAATACATAAAATTACTGAGAAAGCAGGAATGGTCACAGGAGATGCAGTATGTACAATCTCCAATGCTGGAAACGCTGTTGAGCCCTATGAGCGAAAAAAATATGTGGTTCACTTTCCACAAGATGAAGTGAGACTGAGAGAAGTACCACAAGAGCTGTCGTTGCAATGCCACACTTCACCACTAAATGAACCTGGAGAGAAACACACTATGTCAACATATGCAACTAACCAAGATTCCATCCTTGTCAACTGCGAATTGCCTACACTTCAAGACAAGCACAACACAGAAGCACTTCCAGATTTTGCACTTGACAAAGCAACTGGTGGGAATTTAGACAACTGTAATGATGCTATGAATTCGAAGGTTTCAGATAGTGCAATCACAAGTTCAATGCCAGTATCAGTGACTTGTGAGGGTTCGTTAAGTAGCTTGATCAATACACACAAGCAAAATGAAGAGGCTCAAGCTGTAAGCACAGTAGCCAACAACTTAAGCGCCTGCTTCACAGCGACCCAGCAGCAGCAAGAGCACCAAGAGGCCACAAGTTTGGGAAGCTGCGACTTGACGATAGAGTTTTGTAATACTTCACAGCATCCAACAGCGCTGTCAATCAAAGAGTGTTTGGTAATATGCCCCGATGCTAACTCGGCTATGAGTCGGTCAGCAAAAGGGCAACATTATGATGGATCTGTTTCAGCATCTGACAGCACAAACATAGAGTGTGGTGTGCTTCCTCACTTTAGTTCTCCTAACACTGCAAAGGTAGTTGGACCAGTGCAACCTAATTCATCAATAAGCATACAAGACACAAAAGAAATGCCTGCTTTAGTTATACCATGTTCCCATACCCATAAATCTGGTGCAATTTGTCAGTTCTCCGGGCCGCATGAAAAGGATGAAATTCCAAGGAAGCCCATGCAAGGTGATGAACAAATGCAAACTATTCAAGGCAGGAGCGCTGCACCAAAAGAAACAAAAGATTACGCTTCTGTTCCCACAGAAATTACAGACACCAGTGATGCCATGAAATCAAGATTACTTGTAGGTTCATGTGATGATTTCAGTTCTACAGAAAGAAGACTAAAAAACAAAGGTAATTTTGATAATTTCAAAGCATCGCCTCTGTGCTCTAAGGAAGCAAACTTGGCCATCACTGGAGAACCATTTGACACTACTGTTGCAGCAGAGCACAAGCAGAGTGTCACTACAGCACATGAGGTTTCTAGCGAACTGGAAAATACTGATAAAATAGAAATCCCCAACTGCATGTGCACAGTATCACCATCTGAGATTTCGTTGCAAAAACATGAACATGTTGATGAACCGAAGAATGAAGCAATGACAGCCAACACCCAAATGACCATACTTCTCAGCAATAGGGTCAATGCAACAAGTAATGAGCTTTTATTGGATGAAAATTATTCTTTTCATAGAGGAAAATGCAGCAGCAATGATAATCAAAATAAGCAAGAAGTGGGAGGCGACCTTCACCTGTGTGGCACATCATCTAGACATCCACCTTCCACTAAGTCTGATATAATGAATGCACATGTGGTACATGAAAGAAGTGCAGCTCCTGAAGAATATCAACAGGAATCCACAAACATCTCAACTCCTGAGCACTCGGACGAACTTGGCACCGACGCCAGACATGAACAAGAATCTGTAAATGAATGTGAAAGTTTCAAGTTTGGCGGACTCCAACACGTGGGCACCGAAGAACCGAGTAACAGCAAACTAGATGTCACTGGGTCTACTAACATATCAGTTAAGGCGAGATATACAATTGACGAAGGTGCTGAAACAATCTGTGTTCCTCGCAGCAGCGCATTAAACAATGAAAATGCTTCAGAACATTCAAATTTATCACCGGTGGATGGCATAAGATATCAAGATGCTGAAACAACATTGACTTCAGCAAATATGGAGCACGCAAATGTGCAGGGCAATGATGACAGCAATGCTTTTCCTCCAAATGAGACCTGCTTCACTGAGCTGTATGCAACTCCTGAACCAAAAGATGTAGAACACACCCCAACGGCATTCAAGCACAGTGAAAAGTACTCCAAGAGAACGAATAGCGAATTTGCACATAGCCCCATTGGCCTCAGTCGTAGCAAAGCACAAGTGGAACATTCAAGTGCAGCACATGTGGTACTACATCTTTCTGGCACCGAACGCACTGTTAACTTAGCACACGTGGATATTTCCGATAGCGATCAGGTGGTGGAAAAGCATGTGCTTAAGATACCGGAAAGTGATTTTTTCACAGGTGACGAACATCTCAGCGGGTCTGAAGAAATTGTAAATAGCTCGTCGAACTTGGCTGTCAACGATGAGTTTGTGTTGGGGTTCGCTGCTAGAAATCGGCAGCCCTGCGCACCTATACTACCTGAAGATATCCCAAAGGACTTAGAAATTCAAGGCAAAGAACATATTCTTAGTCGTCCATCCAACCGTGCTACGGGAAACGATAACGCAATTTATGACTGCGAAGTAACGAAAGAAGAAGCAACAGAAATGCACGCAACTACGTGCACCGAAGAACACGGCACTGATTTCATAAGGGCAGATGGCGGGGACATTAATGTTGCTGCAACAGGTTCGACGGAATTTTCGAGCTGTTCGAAGTCCCATGCAGGCACTCCAGCGTCGGACAGTTGCGGAGCAGACTGTTTCAATACCGCGGCTTCTCCGACACGCAACGTCGGGCGGCAGTGTTCGGTCAGCTGCACCAACTTTGAATGTCAGCCACATGAAGCGTGTGATCTCTTCCTACAGAACAGCGGCAAGTCCGATGCAAGCGCCGATCTTCAGCACAAAACAGTAAGTATACTCATGCCTGCGATGCCATCATTTTTACGGGTCTTCCACCGCACAGGAAGAAAAAAAGTGGCTGTTGTTTTTCTTAGCAAGGCTACTTACAAGTACACGTTGCATAAGTAAACTTAAGAGGTTACTTACAAAGTCTGCAGTGTTCGTGGCAAGGTTCCTTTTGGCGTTGCATAAGTCAGTTGCCAGACTGTGGGGTGGTTTTGCCAGACTGTCGCTAAATTTGGCTAAAATTTTTTTCCTGTAGTTGTAGTTTTTTTGTAAGAGTTCGGTGCCATCCGCGGTGCATTTGGTGAGTGCATGAGCGACACTGGCCGTTTTAATTAACCGAATGAACCGAGCCAAGCAGAAGTCGAGCGTGGCGCTGCCGTGCAATTAGGAGGCCAATTTAATTAACGGAATGAACCGCGCGTTACAGAATTCGTTTTATTTACAGAATAAACAGCGTGTTACAGAAGTCGAGCGCGGCGCTGCCGTGCAATTAGGAGGCCTCTGCTAGGCGACTTCTGCTAGGCGCGGTTCATTTCCATTAATTAAAACGGCCTCTTACTTGCACGGCAGCGCCACGCTCGACTACTGCTAGGCGCGGTTCATTCCGTTAATTAAAACGGCCAGCGTCGCTCGTTCGCAAAATGCACCGCAGATAGCACCAAATTCTCACAAAAAAAACACAACTACAAAAAAATTTTTGCTGTCAAATTTAGCAACAAACTAGCAACACTGACCCTCCCAGTCTGGCAACCACTTATGCAACGCCAAAAGAAACCTTGTCGTGGTCGTTAAGCAGGCCGGTGTGACCGGCACATGCCTGAGAGCAGTTTCCATCCGCTGACACAACACGTCCTATTCACATCTGAAAGGGTGTTCGCTTTCGTTTCATAAGCACACACTTTCGCCTCCATACAAACGTTTCATTATCATAAGTGGCCACATCGTTCTCGTCGGAAAAAGCTTCAAGACTTGGAATCTCCCTCTCACAGGCGTTAGCGCTTGTAAAGGTATGCTTGTGAGCATAAAAAAAATTAAATGTGATGGCGCTGCTGTACAGTTGCAGAAGTCCACGAAGGTGCGTAGACAGCGCCGCTTGATGCGACGTAGTCTGTTTCGTATTGTGTTCGTTGGCGCTGCTTTAGGTGTGCTGGCGCTGCTGTACAGTTGCAGAAGTCCACGAAGGTGAGTAGGCAGCGCCACTTGGTGCGACGTAGTCTCTTTCATATTGTGTTCGTTGGCGCTGCGTTAGGCATAGCGTTTAGTGGCCGGATGTGAATATCCCGCGTGCTGCGCCATGTTTTAGCCAAACTGTCTGAAAGATCATGAGCCGATCTTTGACTTTTTAGGTAAGTAGAATTGCCAGATGTTGTGACACAAATACTTTATGATGCTGCATTTTTAAAATTTTTGTTGCGATTGCTGCGCGCTTGTTCCTAGTCTAGTCGCGTGCGCGAATTCGCCGGGGCATTGCACGAGTCTCGTTCTTTCTGAAGGCGGAACGAATTTAAGTGTTCAAGCTCTGGCGGAAGTTGGTGAGAACTGATTGCAATCAAGTGTCTGTGCTCTGCGGTCACTGCGACTCTTTAGAAGATATTTAAACGCTTGACTTTTGAGTCAGAGATGGAATGAACGGCGCCCTTACTAAGCCTACTGTTTTAGTGGAGAGTTGCGATCTGGGCTTGTCTGGAGAAGTAGCTCATATATATATATATATTTTTCTTAGTGTTCTGCCACTGTGATCGTGGCGTGTTTATGTGCGTGAGCGTACTTTCCCCCTAGGTGCATCCGCCATTCCCTTGCAAGTTTAGCCTCATCGCGAAGAAAACCGACATCAAACCAGCATGACGTCTATACATGCATTTTTGGGTTGAGCAGGCGCACCTTACTCCTATAATCTAGGAGGCTATGCTCCTATCTTATGGTACTGGGGCATAGCCTCCTAGATTTCCCTTGCCTGCCGGGTTATCGGTGGTCACTTGGAAACCGACCGTCATCAGAACTATGGTGGTGGCGCCACCTAAACAGGGGTGTTTTCAAATAAGATTTTTCTGTTTTTGGGACTTATATGCAACAAAAATAACGTAAAATTTTTTTAAAAAGCGTAAACGTAATCATAATTAACCCTACGTAAGTGACGCCGTCATTCAACAAGCAACTCCTCCAATACAAGGCATGGCCTCTGAAATTAGTAGCAAACGCCAAAATTGCCGATCTCAAAGGCCAAGTACAAAGACCCTTACCCCTATGTAGGCAGCGCAGCCATAGATAACCGGCGTTTCGCGCTCATCCGGCAGGCAAAGGAAATCGAGGAGGCTATGACTGGGGGAAACATGCAGGGAACTGGTGTGACCTCTAGCAGACTGGTGTGACCTCTAGCAGTCACATTTTTAAGACCTCAGGTTTGTTACCGAATTACGGTGTGGCTAGGGTTACGTCCAGACGTAACTGTAAGCATCGCAGTCGTTACGTCCAGCCGTAACTATAGCCAATGGAAATGCTATGTCTAAACATAACTATAGCCACTGCTTGCGTTACGTCCACGGTGACGTTTGCATCTGCTAGAGTTTCATGGAACGCTTCATGGAACTTCATCTAACTACAGAGAAATGCTTCTTTCAATTTTTTTTTTTGTCGCCGCTACAGCAAGAAGTGAATACTTAATTGTTTCAGTCACGCAACACCATTTACATACAAATTAAACACTCACAGATACAACAAAAACGATCGTGCACAGGGAGAAATATTTGTCAACGAGGGCCAGTACCCCATTGATTGGCAGACTGCACTTCTCACTCTCGTGATAGGAATGTTCCACCGGCTTTTATATATATATATATATATATATATATATATATATATATTGTGAGCTGTGAGCGCTATGTACTTCATCTTCATTTGTATGACAAAACCATTGTAGTGATCATCATTGTATGTCACGCGGGCTCGGTCTCTTTGACTTGTGCATCTGGATTAAAAAGATAACCTGGTTACTGCCTGACCGGACGAGGTCTCATAATATATGTAATATATATATATATATATATATATATATATATATATATATATATATATATATATATATATATATATATGAGATCTAACAGACAGTAATGCCAAGGAATGTACAGGGGAAGTTATTAGAACCAATGGAATGTAAATAAAAAGAAAGAAAAGTGGATGAAAAAATAACCAGCCGTGAGCAGGCTGCTCACGGCTGGTTATTTTTTTCATCCACTTTTCTTTCTTCTTATTTTCTTTCTATTGGTTCTAATAACTTCCCCTATACATTCCTTGGCATTACTGTCTGTTAGATCTCATTAATATTGTGTTAAATCACGGAAAAACAAGCCCTTAGGTATACACTTCTTTCCCTTATTTTATATATATATATATATATATATATATATATATATATATATATATATATATATATATAATGCTCCCTTAGGTTCCCAGCCTCATTGCTTATCTATTTGCCAAGATATTTGTATTTATCCACTATCTCCAGTAATGCTCCTGCATTCTATGCCTTTCTTATGTTAAAATCATGACCACTAATTTTTCTTTATAGAACTTCAAATCTAACCTATCTCACACTCAATACCACAGCTGCCTATCGATCCCTGCAGATCTTCCTTCTTGTCGTCCATCAGTACTAAATCATCTGCATGCATAAATGCTGGTAATGACTTTTTAATGCATTTTCCTTGCTTGAAAAAAAAAAAAAAGAGACGCTGAAGCCAAGCCCACCCCCTCTAATTCGGCCTCTGTTTCCTGTCCAGCGGTAAGGATGATCAGCTGGTAAAGTTACATCCGTCGTGTGGTTCACAATATGCACATGAGTTTGATAATCATTTGGCAGTTTCAAAGGTTTGCTAGTGTGTCACTGGGATTTGTGGTGCGCTTTCTTCGCTAACACTCAATATTTTCCTACAGCAAAACTGTACGGCGCTGCAGCAATATGGGTTTGCTCGTCTGCCGCGGTGACGAAGGCTATTTTCTTTTAAAAAAAACATATGAGTGTTGCCCTTTGAATGTTAATGCTGCAATGTTTTAGAGAATACTAGGGCAAAAAAAAAAGATTGCAGAGTGGCTCGAACAGACTCCACCATCATGCATGTGCTGCCTTAGCTTATTGTGCCACAACTGCCTTTTTTTTTTTCTTTAACTGCGCCACAACTGCAGATCGGTTTGGAGGGTCTAACAAGCCAGTTTTGTATAGTTGTCATGCTGGTAGTAACTTTAATGGCTTCTATCATTACGCTTAGACGTAGCTTTGCGAAAGGTGAAGGTTGCGTCCAGCCGTAACGATAATCAGCTGCTAAAGTTACGTTCGTTGGGGGTTTCTTGGGTTTGATGATTATTTGGCGGTCTCGAAGGTTTGCTCGTGTGTCACTGGGATATTTTCACTTTTTGGTTCAGTTTGGTCGCTAACACTCACTATTTTGCTGTAGCAAAACTGTACGGCACTGTAGCAACGCTGTTTTGCGCTTCTGCCGTGGCCACGAAGGCTATTTTCTTCAAATTATATATATATATATATATATATATATATATAAGCAGTGCCCTTGGAACATTAATGCTGCAATGTTTTAAAGAATACTGTGCAAAAAGAATAAAAAAAACTCCAGAGGAGCTCGAATCAACGACCTCACTGTCCTGCATGTGCTGCCTCAGTCTACTACGCCACTACTGCCGATCGGTCCGGATGGTTTAACAAGCCGGTTTTGTATTATTGTCCCGCTGAACGTAACTGCAACATTGCTTATTTTTATGTCTGGACGTAACTTTAACAGCTTGCATTACGTCCACGGTACGTTTAATAGTTAGCGTTACGTCCAGAATGGAGCTTCTATGGTTACGTCTAGACGTAATGCTAGACACTCCATTCAAATTAGCTCTCGCGGATGCACGTTGCTTGGGGGTTTCATTCAACAGTGGTGACTTAAGTGGGTACTCAAACCATGCATTCGTGTTCTCCCGAGATTTGCTGCATAGTAGCT